TCAACGAAGCTCTATCTTGGTAATCTTGCGGATGAAGCTTTAACTTGGATCTTGAACTTTGAATAGCAAGGCTTCACCGACATTCCGCCAACCTCCTTTGGATATGATCGTTGAAGCTCTATTCCATCCATCCTCCAACAACGTTATTTGTCTACAAAACATAGGAATGCACAAACACTAGACAAACAACATTAGTAATAAATTGTTTGTTAAACATCATCAAAACAAGAAGGCCAACACATTAAGTGTGTGTTTGTTGGATACTCACGTACTCAAAAAGGGTATAGGTGCTATCATCCGACCACCAGGAGATATTTTGTTTCTGCTGATGTTACCTTTTTTGAGTCTGTCCCATATTTTTCCTCTGGTTCCACTACCTCTGTCAGTCCACAGGTGCCACTACCTTCTACGGCTCCCACTACTATTCCGGTATCTGCTCCTGAGGCTACTGCACCAAAGCCTCTACTGACATACTCTCGCCGTCCTAAAGTACATACACCTGTCTCTGCTCCTGCTGACTCTTCTTCTCCAGCTGCAGGTCCATCTCATGTCGAGCCTCATATCTCTTCTGACTTAGATGTTCCTATTGCTCTTCGTAAAGGTAAACGGTCTTGCCCAAAATATCCTATCTCTCTTTTTGTCTCTTATGACCGTCTCACCTCATCATTTCGTCAGTTTGCTTTGTCATTGTCCACTATATCTTTACCCAGGTCACATGAGGAAGCTTTGTTAGTACCCGCCTGGAAACAGGCTATGGATGAGGAGATGAATGCACTGCTTTCTAGAGGGACTTGGGATTTGGTCTCTCTACCTGCTGGAGCGACTGTGGTTGGCTGCAGATGGGTGTATACCTTGAAATATCGTCCTGATGGGTCTGTTGATAGATATAAAGCTCGCCTGGTTGCTAAAGGATATACCCAGACATATGGTATTGACTATTTTGAAACCTTTTCTCCCGTTGCTCGTCTCAACTCCATCAGAATTCTTTTCTCTCTGGCTGTTAATATGGATTGGGCGATGCACCAACTAGATGTGAAGAATGCTTTCCTTTATGGTGATTTGGACGAGGAGGTTTATATGGAGCAACCTCCTGGGTATGTTGCTCAGGGGGAGAATCTTATCTGCAGGCTGAGAAAGGCCATCTATGGGTTAAAGCAGAGTCCTCGAGCTTGGTTTGATAAGTTCAGCAAGGTTATTTCTAATGTTGGTTTTCAACGTTGTCAGTCTGATCACTCTGTCTTTCTTCGACGCACAACAACTGGTTTGGTTATTTTAGCCGTATATGTTGATATTCTGCTGACTGGGAGTGACTCTGTTGCCTTAGCTGAGACTAAGGAGTATCTAAACCGTCATTTTGTCACTAAGGACATGGGAAAGCCAAAGTATTTTCTTGGGATTGAAGTTGCATATAAAAAACATGGTCTGTTGTTGTCTCAAAGGAAGTATGTGCTAGATTTACTAGAAGAAGCAGGTCTCTTGGAATGCAAACCTGCAAGCACTCCAATGGAGGCAAATGTTGATTTGTGGCGTGATGATACCTCTCTACTAGATGATGCTGCACGATATAGGAGACTAATTGGGAAGCTAATATATTTGACAGTTACCAGACCTGATATTACTTTTGCAGTAGGTGTACTGAGCAGGTTTATGCACAAACCTAGAGAGGTTCATTGGACAGCAGCTCTGAAGATTTTGGCATATGTCAAAAGTTGTCCTGGCAAGGGATTGTTATATAAGAAGCATGGGCATACTCACATTTCGGCTTTCTCTGATGCTGGCTACGCAGGAGACATGGGAGACCGAAAGTCAACCTCAGGATTTTATACTTTTGTTGGAGGTAATCTTGTGACTTGGAGAAGTAAGAAACAAGATGTAGTATCACGATCTAGTGCAGAGGCCGAATATAGAGCAATGGCTCACACTGCTTGTGAGATGGTGTGGCTAAGAAAGTTTATGACAGAGCTTGGTTTTGTTCAGTCTGGACCCATGCCAATGCATTGTGACAACCAGTCTGCCATTTATATTGCACAGAATCCTGTGTTTCATGAGAGGACAAAACATATTGAAGTTGACTGCAATTTTGTCAGAGATGCTTGGGAGAAGAAGATAGTATCTCTCACATTCACTCCGTCCTCACAACAACTTGCTGATATTCTTACCAAGGCTACTTCTTCAAAGGTGTTTTCTACTATATGTGACAAGCTGGGCATGGTGGATATTTATGCTCCAGCTTGAGGGGGAGTGTTAGATTAAGTCTATTGGGTATTGGGTTAATGGGCTGTGACCCGTTAACCATACCCCTATTTGTATGACTATATATATATCTCTCTAGTATCTGAATAAATCAATGAAGTTAGGGTTTTTGCTCTCTCAATTATCTCTTTCTACAATACCAATCTGGCTATTTTGCCCTTTTATCTCAGCTTCTTCCCTCCGACTAAATCATGCATTAAGTTTAAAACAGAGTAAACTTATTTACTGCTTCTAATTTAAAGTAAAACCTCAAAAATATTATTCATACTACAGTACCACTATTCTTGTTACAATATGATTTAAAATATTTTAAAAATTGGTCATGTTACAGTACATTTTCAACCTTAGAGCAAGTGCACCAAGCTCCCACCGCCGCTCTCAAGGCCTACGTGGCGGTGGGAGCTCGTGAACCCCCCTCCAACAAACTCCTAGCAAGCTCCAAAGAGGCTCCCTGGGCTGATGTGGCCAGTGGGGCCCACCGGAGCTCTTGGGAGCTCCCAAGCGCTCCACAAATTTGTGGAGCGCTTAGGAGCTCCCAAGCATTAAAAAAAAATTTTTTTTTTTACAAAACCCCCTACTTTTAAACCCAAACCCCAAGTTGAAAATAGTTGTTAAATGGAAGAAGGTTTTTTTGATATTGTTACAAAACTAAAATAGAAGATGGTTTTTTTTTTTATATTGTGGAGCTCCTAACTAGGAGTTTGTTGGAGATCAACATTAGTTAGTAGGGTGATGTGGCATTGGAAATGGTGGGCCGTGTCTTGAGAGCTCTTGGGAGCTTGCTGATTAGGACTCCCAACTGGGAGCTTGCTGCACTTGCTCTTAGGCATGCCATTGGCGTAGTGATTTTTCCCCATAAAAATTGTTTATGGTGCAATGTATTTTTTAGATATTAAACATACTTTATATGATACAGTAATTTTTAACATTTATCCAGTTCTCAAGCTGAAGTAGCATTTTTTCGCCTCGAAAAAACTGTTCATATCTTTCTTTCTTTTTGGTTCTTGCAAATGATGAATTTCACCTTCATCGGACATTTCACAAATATAAACATTTTCTAGTTCTATTACAGAAAATTGATAAAACTGGCTAATTGGTGTATCATTTTGTTAATTGGTTTGGAAATTCATTCCGTAAATAATGGTAAAAAATTTGTCGTAGAATTTTTTATAAATAGTTATATATAAAAACTTAGTAAATAGTACCCACAGCAGCTCGCGCGCCTAATACTAGTGTGAGTAATATATGTGAATATTTGTTGGTCTTTGTCCGAGATTATTTTGGACACCACAGTTCTTTCCTTGGGCACCTTCCGATCCCACTCGTCTCCACTTGATTGTGAAGCCAATGTAGTGCTCACTGGCTAGTCTTGCTCATCCTAAGGACTTGATGAACAAATCGACCATCTCTCCTTGTGCGCATGTAGCATAGAGCCACTACTTAACCTCGTCATTTTGTCTTGTGTCATGGGAGATTGTTGGTCTCTTTTTAAGCTTCTCAACTCTATTGGTCATTCATGCTCGATATTCGGGCAATATGTTGCGCTAGATTTTAGCCCAATTTGCTTGCAGATATAAATGCACATCCTTCTATGATTTTAATATAGGTCTAACTTATATATATAATCAAATTATCCTTGAAACTATCTAATAGAATCATTTCCTGATTCCTAGAAAACCATATGTGAATATTCAGAGGAATATTTTGACATGATAACGCAGAATATTAAAAACATCAGGAGATGTAAGTGCCGCTAGCAGAGATTGAGAATGTATATAATTGTAAAGAAAATAACAAAGTATTTACTAAGTGTTAGTTAGCCAAAAGTTCAGACTATTAGTAGATAATAACCCCTCTTCCTAAAGATTAGAAAACGCCCTTAAGTTTACGGGTTATCAAAAAATCCCATTTAATATCAA